TAAAAGGTGCCATATGTTGTTGACCACGCCGAAAAAGTGATCCAGCAGAACACTGATGCTCTGAGGTTTTTCAGAAGGTTTCTGGAAAACCTTAAGCCAATGCCCAGCTCACATTCACCTTTTTCGATTCTCGTCTTTCGATTCTCGTTCGATTTCGTCTTCGATTATGTTTTATGAGCTGTCCTGAGCGTTTTCTGAAAATTTCCTTGAGTCAGCATGAGATTTGATCGAGATATAAGGATTTTAATTTTTACTAGTAACAGGCGAAAAACCGGTTTTTCACAACAATGCCTCTGACGAAGTTATATTCGGTTATGCCCACGGGTCTTGTATTTTGGGATGGATAGTAGTTAAATGTTGAACGTTCTCAAGTAAAACATTGCACTGTCACATTAATGTACCGTGTATTTTTCTAATATCTCGTAGAGTATGCTAATACCTTGCGTAATACACTATTGTCCGATTCCGTTCTATATATCTGCTTTTCGAATTCTCCGATGTATTATCTACACCGCGGACGTGCAAAAATTTCCTGTTTTGAAAGCCAGTTAAATAGGAGAAGAAATTTAGGTTTTTTTATTCTAAACCTAATGAGCACGAGAAAAAAGCAGTACAATTAAGATTATCCATTTTATCCACTCCATTTAATGGATACTTACGAGCTTCTCATAATGAGTAAAAAAATCATTTTGTTATCTCAAAAAGTCCACACGATTTTTCTTGAACTGACTATATTTTGTCTGTTTTCTCTTTTTGTTTTTTTGTGTATTCATTCCTCGAATTCGGAATCGAGGTCATGACCCTCTGGTAACAGACCAGAAGATCTGATTGCTGAGCTGCCCAAGCACGATCTAACATACATTCGAGATGGACAGTTAAATTATTCATGTGAACTGGAAGTATATGTTAGGTCGTGCTTCGGGAGCTCATTGGTCAGCACTCCTGGCCTATTACCAGAGGGTCTTGACATCGATTCTCGGGAGCAGGCATTTTCTTTTCACATGTTTGTCTATCAAATTGTCTCACTCCTAGCCGTGTTAAAATTCACTTTCTGATCTCATAAAGTCCTGTTTCACACTTCATCTCAATAGGAAATCCTCTTTCAATTTTTCTGAATGTCTTTTCATTCATCCGACGTAGAATAACATAACAGTGTGCACCATAAAGACCAGATTCGATTAGTCGAATTTTAAAGTCATATCCCACAGGCCTCTAGTCACCATATGGTAGATGTGAACAATCGATTGATGAATTTGAGACATTTCCGGCACAGATAGTTTAGACAAGTAGACTATTTCACTTGTCTCAGTGTGTACTTTAAACACCTACGCCGTGCATTCCCGACGGGAAGCGACTTGGCGTTCACTTTGTGCGTGTCATTTACACACTGTTTTTTACAGTGTGGCCGTTCAGTTTCCTTAACAGTATTTCAAATAAAAAAGTTTTATTGCGTAGAAATGATTAATCAGTGAGAGAGACTCTAATAAACAGGCCCAAACTGTGACCAATCATTTTGAGTTGGATCCCAGCCAGTTCCACGGGATCGGGCTCTTCCATATTCTGATAGTCTAGCCATATCTTTATCGCTTAAATGAAAGTCAAATATATTCAAATTTTCTTCTAATCGATGAATATGACTAGTTTTTGGAATTGCTATAAATCCATTTTGTAACGACCAGCGTAAAAGTATTTGTGCTGGAGAACGTCTATATTTTGACGCGAAACGTTGTAAATATGGATCATTCAGTACTGATGCTTTAGCCAATGGTGAATATGCCATTAGAGCAATTCCATGTTGCCGACAATAGTTAACAATGGGAACATTTTGCATCCATGGGTGAAGTTCAATTTGATTGACTGATGGCAATGGTCGTCCTGAATTTCTTATAGCTTCCAAATGTTGAATGCCAAAATTGCTAACGCCAACAGAACGAATTCGTCCTTGTTTTTGTAATTCTAACATTGTATCATAAGCTTCTAAAACATGACCACCTTGAGGAGCATGAATAAGATAGAGATCAATATAATTCACCATTAAATTGTTTAAGCTTTGTTGAAACGATTGAAGTACTTGACGTCGTCCCCCAGTAGTCGTATAAAGTTTTGTTGTAATAAATATATGTTC